CAGCACAAACATAGGACAGTCAGAAAGGAAACCTGTCCAATCCCCAATTCCCCGAGCACTGGATCATCAGTAAGCCTGCAGCCAGACAATGACAAGAAGAATAAACTGACATATAAACAAATAACAACAGACAGAAAATAATAAAATACATTAAAAAAAAAACAGAAAAACAAAAAGAAATAAAAAGGTTACATAGTTATGTTGTTAGCTGTCATATCTTTCAACAAAATATATAGAATTTCCTGTGCAACCTCTTATAGTATATCTGATTTTGTCTACGTGGGTTAGAAACATGACCTCCCTTATCCATTGGCCATATGTCCTTCCATTTAGATAATATTAGTCTTCTGGCCAAAAGGGAGCAAAAGGCTATCATATTGTTTTGGTGCCCATTAACAGGAGGGTTCATCTGGGCAACACCAAACAGAGATCAGTGGAGAGGGGTCGACCGTTGTCCCACATATTCTTGAAAGGTCTCCAGCAGAAACCAAAAAGTTTTGGGCATGTCCAGAACATATGTAACAAAGTGGCAGGAGCCTGTTTACAACGATCACATGTTGGGTCAAGATCTGTTTAAATTTAGCTAGTTTATCTTTGGACCAATGCAAACGATGAACAACTTTAAACTGAATTACAGCGTGCACACAAGGAGGAATAAATCCTTTGTATGACTTTATGCCAAACTGCCTCTGCAATTACCTCACCCAGGTCTGCTTCCCACTTGTTCTTAAGGCTCTCCAGACCAGTAACATTGAGCAGAGTTGAGCAATATATAAATCTTGCCTATAATATGTTTGGTGTCCATTTTACATTTCAAAATTGAATCTAGCAGGGAAACCGGCGGGCATTGAGGGAAGTAATCAGAGTTAGATGCTATAAAATTCCTGAGTTGCAAATACCTGTCAAAATGTGACTTGTGAATCTTAAATTAATATGATAAGCACACTATTTAAGTTAACGAGTGTGTGGAGTAGAGGAGTGTACACTATTTAAGTTAACGAGTGTGTGGAGTAGAGGAGTGTACACTATTTAAGTTAACGAGTGTGAGGAGTGCACACTATTTAAGTTAACGAGTGTGAGGAGTGCACACTATTTAAGTTAACGAGTGTGAGGAGTGCACACTATTTAAGTTAACGAGTGTGAGGAGTGCACACTATTTAAGTTAACGAGTGTGAGGAGTAGAGGAGTGTACACTATTTAAGTTAACGAGTGTGTGGAGTAGAGGAGTGCACACTATTTAAGTTAACGAGTGTGAGGAGTAGAGGAGTGTACACTATTTAAGTTAACGAGTGTGAGGAGTAGAGGAGTGCACACTATTTAAGTTAACGAGTGTGAGGAGTAGAGGAGTGCACACTATTTAAGTTAACGAGTGTGAGGAGTAGAGGAGTGCACACTATTTAAGTTAACGAGTGTGTGGAGTAGAGGAGTGCACACTATTTAAGTTAACGAGTGTGTGGAGTAGAGGAGTGCACACATTTTAAGTTAGGTAGTAGAGGAGAGACAGAGAGAACACAGTGGTAGTCAGCTCTTTACAGGTAGAAGGAAACAGAAACACACCTGGACAGCAAAGTTTCGAGCCTCCTGCAGTCTGCTCTGTGACGGGAACTGGTTCGTGAAGGAAGAGCCGTCAGGGAGCCGGAACTGTATCCTCGCCACGGTGCTGTTAACACACACCCACATTTCAACATCGAAAGACAGACAGACAGACAGACAGACAGACAGACAGACAGACACACAGACACACAGACACACACACACACACACACACACACGATGTACCTCCTCTCCCTGAGCAGCACCTCCCTCCGGGCCTCCTGCTCCGCCTGTCTCACCTGCTGGGCCGCCAGTTTAGCCGCTTGATCCTCCTCCTGGACTTTAGCGTAACGCGCTGCCCGGTCAGCGCGGTCCTGAACACGGAGAACATTATTATTATCATTTAATCTATAAGGATCGGTTAGGTTGGATTTCGGGGTTTTGGGGGTCTCTGGGTTTCGGGGGTGGATGTTGAGGGTGACGTTACCATGGCAATCTGCTGTTTTACTCGCTCTCGGGCTGCTCTCTCCTCGGCTTTCTCTCGGTTCCTCTCCTCCATGAGTCTCTTCGTCTTCTCGTCTTCCTGTTTCTTCTTAAAGTCCTGCACGTCTTTGCCCGTCTTCCTCCTTTCCATCTCCTTCCTGATCTCGTTCTGAGTCACAACAAACCGACCAATCAGAGACGAGAATGCCAAGGCTTCATCAAATCTCTACAGGAGCTAGCTTCTGCTAGCTCATTAAGCTAATGACACAGAGCACAAAAGTGGCCAGGTAATCAAGCGAAACTTAAGGTCACTTCAATCAATCATTATTTGAATAGTGCCAATTCATAACAAGTGATCTGGAGACGCTTTATAAAAAGAGCAGACGGGATAATGCTATCAGACCTGAGTGCAGCACATGTTTCCTCACCTCGTCTTCTCCCACCTTCTTCTGCTCTCGTCTCTCCTCCAGTTTCTTCGTCAACCTGAAAGATTAAATAGAAAAATATATAAATGTAAACGTGTAAAAGTAACTGGACAGTACACACATCACAGCTACAGGTGTGCGCTCACCTCTCCACTTTAGCTTCCAGGTTCTCGTCACTCTGATGCTGAGAGGAGGTTTGATCAGCAGGACTCACTGAGACACACACACGCACACAAGCACGCACGCACAGAGTTTAATGCTGTTATCACGTTTACACTCCTAAACATTTCTACATAATTTCAGGAGGACTGCTCCTGATATTGAGTATTTAGAAAAGCGCTATATAAATCAAATTACGCTATAATGAGAATATGTGTCTTTCTATCAATGCTACATGTAGTTCAACAGAATCACAATCTGAACTAAAGAGTGGAGAAGAACATAGACACAGACAGATAGAGTGAGAGATAGACAGAGAAACTCAAAGACACAGAGAGAGCTTCTTTGTCACACCTTTTATTGTTTCTGCTGCTGACGTGACGCCTCCTGATGGTCCTGGATCTGAATCTGGAGCTGGTTCTGGAGCTGGATGTGAAGCCCTGTTGTCATGGGGACTGTTCTCTGCAGGAGGCATTGTGTCTGGTCCAATCTGCTGAGCATGCATCTGTCAGAAAACAGGTTAAATTGTTTAGCATGCAGAACCATTAGGATAGGATAATACTTTATTGATGGCAGAGGGGAAATTCAGAAGAACTGCAGCCTACAGAGAGCTGAACGATGTAACATGAGGAGTGATCAGGAGGAATCACCTGTTAAATGCCTGATCTCTTAAGTGATCTGTGTATAATGTAGACTGTTTTTGATCTGGTCAGTCAAATGTTTATTATCTCACTTATAAGACACTATTTATGGTAATATTACCTGCTTCACCCTGTGAATTCTGTTGATCAGCTCTTCAGCAGACACGCTGCCAGCGATGACCTCCAGTGGAATGCCATTGTCTCCGATGAAGAAGCTTGACGGTATGCACACCACTGGATCTTCATGGGAAAGGATTTAAGGAAAATGGCCCAAACTCTTTGTGTAAACTTCTGTTTGGACAAGCTGCAGGAAAGCTCCTCTCTGTCTCACGTTAGACTTATCACAGTCGTCATGACTACATATTAACAATACATAGAGCTTCACCTGGAACAGACTCCACTCAAACATGTCACCTTAAGTTATAATGGAGAGGGATAATAAAAATCTGTTCGGCTTATCCCACATGGCTTATCAATACCTTCCTCAGTGATCAATAACTCTCCTCACAGATCAATACCTCTCCTCAGTGATCAATAACTCTCCTCACAGATCAATACCTCTCCTCAGTAATCAATACCTCTCCTCAGTAATCAATAACTCTCCTCACAGATCAATACCTCTCCTCAGTAATCAATAACTCTCCTCAGTGATCAATAACTCTCCTCACAGATCAATACCTCTCCTCAGTAATCAATAACTCTCCTCACAGTCACAGATCAATAACTCTCCTCAGTGATCAATAACTCTCCTCACAGTCACAGATCAATAACTCTCCTCAGTGATCAATAACTCTCCTCACAGATCAATAACTCTCCTCAGTGATCAATAACTCTCCTCAGTGATCAATAACTCTCCTCAGTGATCAATAACTCTCCTCACAGTCACAGATCAATAACTCTCCTCAGTGATCAATAACTCTCCTCAGTGATCAATAACTCTCTTCATAGATCATCATTTAATCAATAACTTAAGACAAAAAGGATACAGATCTGAGAAAACTGCACACAGGTATCACTTTGAAAAAGAAAGAATTAAAAACACGTTACAACATGTTACAACACATTACAACACGTTACATGTTACAACATGTTACAACACGTTAAAAACATGTTACAAACACGTTACAAACACGTTACAACATGTTACAACATGTTACATGTTACAAACACGTTACAACACGTTACAACATGTTACATGTTACAACATGTTACAACACGTTACAACATGTTACAAACACGTTACAACATGTTACAACATGTTACATGTTACAAACACGTTACAACATGTTACAACACGTTACAACATGTTACATGTTAAAAACATGTTACAACATGTTACATGTTACAAACACGTTACAACATGTTACATGTTACAATCACGTTACAACATGTTACATGTTACATGTTACAACATGTTACAACATGTTACAACACGTTACAACACGTTACAACATGTTACAAACACGTTACAACATGTTACAACATGTTACAAACACACGTTACATGTTACAAACACGTTACAACACGTTACAACATGTTACATGTTACAACACATTACAACACGTTACAACATGTTACAACACGTTACAACACGTTACAACATGTTACAAACACGTTACAACACGTTACAAACACGTTACAACACGTTACAACATGTTACAAACACGTTACAACACGTTACAAACACGTTACAACACCTTACAACATGTTACAACACGTTACAACACGTTACAACATGTTACAAACACGTTACAACATGTTACAACATGTTACAAACACACGTTACATGTTACAAACACGTTACAACACGTTACAACATGTTACATGTTACAACACATTACAACACGTTACAACATGTTACAACACGTTACAACACGTTAAAACATGTTACAAACACGTTACAACACGTTACAAACACGTTACAACACCTTACAACATGTTACAAACACGTTACAACATGTTACATGTTACAAACACGTTACAACACGTTACAACACGTTACACGTTACAAACACGTTACACGTTACAAACACGTTACAACACCTTACAACATGTTACAAACACGTTACAACATGTTACAAACACGTTACAACACGTTACATGTTACAACACGTTACAAACACGTTACAACATGTTACAAACACGTTACATGTTACAAACACGTTACAACACGTTACAACATGTTACAACACGTCACATGTTACAAACACGTTACAACATGTTACATGTTACAACACGTTACAACATGTTACAAACACGTTACAAACACGTTACAAGTTACAAACACGTTACAACACATTACAACATGTTACAACATGTTATAACACGTTACAACATGTTACAACATGTTACATGTTACAACACTTTACAACATGTTACAAACACGTTACAACACGTTACAACATGTTACAACATGTTACAACATGTTACAAACACGTTACAACACGTTACAACATGTTACATGTTACATGTTACGACACTTTACAACATGTTACATGTTACAAACACGTTACAACACGTTACAACATGTTACAACATGTTACAACATGTTACAAACACGTTACAACATGTTACAAACACGTTACAACACGTTACAACATGTTACAAACACGTTAAGGGCTGCCACGAGACAAGACCGGCCTGTCGGCAGCAACCGCCTCACGGCTATATTGCTGGCCACCGCCGCCCACTGCCAGCTCAGCAGCCGAGGCATAAAGCCCAATTCACACATACTCCGTGCGTGCCGCGGTCCGTCAGCGCCCTGCAGTACGTTGTATTTAGCTTCCACTCTAGTCAATCATTGTGTTCACACAGCGCTGCGGTCCGTCTCCTGCATGTGCCACCGACGGCGCTGCGCTCTGCTCCGTTTCAAATACACAGCGAGTCTATTTTCACTGGAGTACGCCGCAGGAACGCGTCAAACTGGACAGAATATGACAGCCCGGACAGGAAGTCAGACAAGGAAACGCACAGAGCATCCGGTCAATTTCAAAATAAAACACAATATACGGACACGCGATTGTATTTTTCATCACTTTATCAGCATTACGTCAAAACAGGAACCGAATGAACAACAATGCATCCTCAGAAAGACAAAGCAACATGTTGTTCACATGTTTTTCTCTTTATTCCCGCAGGATCTTGTAGTTCTCCTGTGATGTATCATGGGTACGCTCCGCTGCGCTGACGTCGCAAAAACGGATCCAGTGTGAATGGGGCGCGAGCCGTCCAAGGAGCAAAACTGTGGCGGTGCACGGAGTATGTGTGAATTGCGAGTAAGGCCTGCATGTCGGCGGTGAGGACGAGGAGCCGGCCGGCTGAGCTGGGCGGACTGGTAGTGTTGGTGCTCTCACTGTTTGTCTATGGACACAGACATAGAGTCTGTTTTCTGACAGGAATTTACAAGATCAATTCTGGAAGAAATCTCTGAATCAGTTGTGTAAATGGTCTTATGTGTTGAAGTAAACATGTCTGTAAATGTTTTTACTTCTATATTTCTACTGCTATCCTGTATATTTTGGAGAAACTGTAACAATCGAATTTCCCTCTGGGATTAATACAGTATTTCTGATTCTGAAATAGAGGACCTTAGTGGGAGTGGGATTTGGGATTTCATCCACATGAGCCAAAAAAACACTTTCTGCCTTTTCTCGGCCAAGAAGGCACCGACTTCAAAATGTATTTCACATTTCTATATATATGACCCAATGTCAGTACAGATTCATGTTTCAACAGGTGAAGTATCCCTTTAAGTATTCAGTATGAAGGCTAATATGACAGCAGGTGACTCTAAAGGAAGGACTGTGCTGACGTGAGATGTGGTCAATACCTCTTTGCGTCCACTCTGATGGCCACACAGCAGCTGTTTGCTGATTCTGATACGATGTCATCCTCCCAGCTGGACATCAGCTGAGAAGACTGCTGGTCGTCTCCTAGAAACACACACACACACACACACACACACACACACACACACACACACACACACACACACACACACACACAATAAACAGGTGAATAAGGTGTTAAATGTTCGTTATACAGGTGAATAAGGTGTTAAATGTTTGTTACAGGTGAATAAGGTGTTAAATGTTTGTTATACAGGTGAATAAGGTGTTAAATGTTTGTTATACAGGTGATTAAGGTGTTAAATGTTCGTTACAGGTGAATAAGGTGTTAAATGTTTGTTATACAGGTGAATAAGGTGTTAAATGTTTGTTACAGGTGAATAAGGTGTTAAATGTTCGTTACAGGTGAATAAGGTGTTAAATGTTTGTTATACAGGTGATTAAGGTGTTAAATGTTCGTTATACAGGTGAATAAGGTGTTAAATGTTTGTTATACAGGTGAATAAGGTGTTAAATGTTTGTTATACAGGTGAATAAGGTGTTAAATGTTCGTTATACAGGTGAATAAGGTGTTAAATGTTTGTTATACAGGTGAATAAGGTGTTAAATGTTTGTTATACAGGTGATTAAGGTGTTAAATGTTCGTTACAGGTGATTAAGGTGTTAAATGTTCGTTACAGGTGAATAAGGTGTTAAATGTTCGTTACAGGTGATTAAGGTGTTAAATGTTTGTTATACAGGTGAATAAGGTGTTAAATGTTTGTTATACAGGTGAATAAGGTGTTAAATGTTCGTTACAGGTGATTAAGGTGTTAAATGTTTGTTATACAGGTGAATAAGGTGTTAAATGTTTGTTACAGGTGATTAAGGTGTTAAATGTTTGTTATACAGGTGAATAAGGTGTTAAATGTTTGTTACAGGTGATTAAGGTGTTAAATGTTTGTTACAGGTGAATAAGGTGTTAAATGTTTGTTATACAGGTGAATAAGGTGTTAAATGTTTGTTATACAGGTGAATAAGGTGTTAAATGTTCGTTACAGGTGATTAAGGTGTTAAATGTTTGTTATACAGGTGAATAAGGTGTTAAATGTTCGTTACAGGTGATTAAGGTGTTAAATGTTTGTTATACAGGTGAATAAGGTGTTAAATGTTTGTTATACAGGTGAATAAGGTGTTAAATGTTTGTTACAGGTGAATAAGGTGTTAAATGTTTGTTACAGGTGATTAAGGTGTTAAATGTTTGTTATACAGGTGAATAAGGTGTTAAATGTTTGTTACAGGTGATTAAGGTGTTAAATGTTTGTTATACAGGTGAATAAGGTGTTAAATGTTCGTTACAGGTGATTAAGGTGTTAAATGGGTTATCGCTGTTCACAGCTTAGTTCCTGCTAACAGTAGCTACATGCTAACACAAACAAACACACACACTGTGACACACACAGACACACACACACAGACACACCTGTGACACACATACCTGTGATAACGACCACGAACACGGAGCCCCGCTGTTTAGCTGAGCTAATAGCGTCTGGAATGGAGCCCTGAAACCACAACATGTTAGCCCGCTGTGTCTGTCTGTGCTAACAGCTAAGCTAACAGCTGAGTCACATTCTACTTCCTGAACACATCAGCTGGAAAGAGACACTTCCGGGACAAACACGACGGTCACGTCACAGCTGACGTCATCTTCCCCGCCCTTCTTTTAGGATTTATGGCGGTTGGCAGACAACGAATATGTGAATTTGCGCAAAACCAAAATATCCAATATCTACAACTTTCTGTACATAATATTAATAATAATAATAATAACATTTAAAATAAAAAAATCAATTCTATCTTCTCAATCAACTTAGTTTGTAAGGTACTGAAAGGAAATCCTATAGCCTTCACTTTCTGAATTCTTTGGTAAGATTTCTGTTAAATCCAAACGTACTTTCTTTCAGGTTCTCCATCATCTGTCTTCTTTTTAAACTTCTGACATGTTCCACTGTCTCCTCTTATTAAAGGTTATTCCAGGACATTTTACAAACTACCGTCCCATCTCAGTTCTTTCATGCTTTTCCAAAATATGAGAAAAACTAGTATAAAAGAGGGGTAGGTGGCGGATGAACATCGCACTTTTGAATGACGAGGGGTTTAGCAAAGAATTAGATGAGGACCTGACCATGTTTTTTGATCTAAATGTGGGGACAACAGAGAAACTTTCCTCAGGCCAGAAGGAAAAGGGAAAATATGGGCCTATTGTCGAAACTGGAAGCGGAAATTATTAAGTTGGAGAAGTCTCTATCAGAGCATTATACTGATGATTTATACAAGGACTTGTGTAACCTGAAGTTTAAATAAATAATATATATAACAAAAAAGCAGAATATTCTCTTTTCCGGCTACGAACTACTTTTTATGAAGGGGGTGACAAAACAGGCAAACTACTGGCAAGACAATTAAAACAACAGACTAACAATAGCGTAATTCCTGTTATAAAAAAAGGGGATGTGTTAGTTTCATCGTCTAAAGAAATATATGGGGTCTTTAAACAATTTTATGAAGACATGAAATTATTACAGCCTAATATATTTGTATCTTACTTATTGTAACATTGTATGGGCCAGCACTTTCCAAACATATCTTCATGAAATTCTATTACTCCAGAAAAGTTATTTCAGAATGGCAACTTAGTGTAACATATTAATAGTCTTAAAATAAGTAGCTTTATTTTTAAAGTTAAATACATGAGTGCAAACTTGCCAGAAAGCTTTAAAGCATTTTTCATTTTTAATTCTCAAGTGAACTATTACTCAACTAGACAAACCAATAACCTCTACCTACCAATGTGTCGTACATGTCGAGGACTCAATAAGATACCGTGGAGTCAAATTATGGAACACGCATATTTATTTACTTGATGATTTTTTGTCTTTTTCTAGATACAAATTGAGACTCAGAAATGTGTTGATGTCAGAAAGATTTGTAGTGAATAGTGAATTGTCCTGATTTTGTTATATTGTCTACATATTGTATGTCCTGCTTTGCTCTATTTTTATGTTTTCAATGTTTGTATGTAATTTTCAATTGAGTAAATTTTATTTGCGATAGTAAATATTCTTACTTTGTTATTTTTTACTGTATTTTATTTTAACTTTGTTTAATCTCTTAAGGTGAGGTTTTGAGATAAGCCATCATGGGTTTCTACCTCACCTGCACATGTGTTTTATTTTTTATTTGTTTAATTTTTCTGTTTTACTCTTCTTTCAAAAAATGTGCAAATAAACTAAACTAAATTAAACTGTTGTCCACAGTAGTCGTATTATGTTTTCCTGTTTTGAACAATGTGTTATTTAATCCAGTGTGTCCAAATCTGAATCTAGATATCATTCTTTCATTTCTCCTATTTGTTCTTGCACTTCTCATTTCTCCAACCTTCCTTTAGATTCTGTAAAACCTTTGTCCTTTCTTTTCTTCCTCCCTCTGCTTTTTTTGCCCCCTTCCCTTCAGTCTCTGTATAATAATGCTCTTCACTTCTGTTCCACTGATGCTAACTATTAAATCTACTTGAGTATTTTTTGAAGCCTCCTTTGCCACCTTGTCTGCTAATTCCTTTGATGCCTATGAGTGCAGGGTCCCATACAAATATAATTTGACTTCTGTATAGTGTTAGTTTGATTTCTAAATGTCTGCTGTCTGAATGACTGTAAACTGATGAGTGATGAACTTGAATCTGAACAAATGACTGATGTCAGTGCTCTTGTATCCTCTATCCACTGTACTGATAATAATAGAGTGATCATTCCCCCTTCTGATAACCCCTCACTGATTCTTTTCCCAATGTTGACCTGAAGCTCTGGAACAAGAAATGAAACTCCAACTTTGCCAGCTGTGTCTTTGATGGATCTGTATCAGGATGATGTGTGTGTTAAAATGAAACTCCCTATCCCTGTTTTTCTTTTCCAATAATGTCAGATCTAAAGGTACTCTTTGACTAATGTTTCATTGATCAACTTTAGGTTCTGCTGCTTCCTGTGTCACTGACTAACACTGACTAACCCTAACCCTAACCCCAGAAAACCATCAGAAGAGAAGCAGTGAAAGACATTATGTTATAGCATTTACTTGCTGTACAATTTTTAAGTACTTGATACCAAAAGAGTACTTTGAAGGTATTGAATACCCTTTACTGGGACACAAACATTCAGTTTTCCAGGTGTAATGTGTGAAAAGAGAGAGACTTAGTGATGGCAGAACTTGGAATCACAGTCTGGAGGCGGAGCTGTAATTATGGCATACTTGGCCTTCCATACAGCAGCGCTCGTCATGTTGTTTAGTTCACTTTAACTTTCACTTTTGATTCTGATTCAGTCGGTAACGTTCCTGCTCCGCTCTCAGGACTTTTTGTTCCTCAAAAACTCACTGGACGATAAAATCAGACCGCAGGTCTAAAGAACAGGTAGACTGCCGTGAGGAAAGAATTTATTTAAAGCAGTTGATTTAATTCCGTTGCTGAACAGTTTCGTCTCAGTGTTTCAGGTCGGATCATGGCTGACATGACGAAAAAGGGCGAGGTAAGAGTTATGAAGCCTTAATAAAGAGATGAATGTTCTTTACATATCCTTTGGCTTCATTTACACACAGTTATAATTTATATTTAAACAAGTTGTCTCTTTATTTACAATGATATCCTTGTTTGATATGTGAGGAGGAGCTTCAGCTGGAAGAGGCAAAGAAAGAGCTGCAGACGTGGAAGGTAAGAAAGTGACAGTTCACACTTCCTCCGTCAGCGACGCGCACTACGCCGTACTTAGCTGCCGCCCCCCTTATATAACACTGTTATTACTTATTACAACTTTATTATTGCTTTCACTTGGTACTTATGCTTATTATATTGTTATTAATATTTTTATTTTATTTTATATTGTGAATTTATCTGTACTTCCTACTGATTTTTGGTGTTATGAGCAACTGTAGCAACAAATTACCCCCTGGGATTAATAAAGTATTTCTGATTCTGATTCTGACCTATCACCTACAAACCACCTGACCTATTTTAATTTGTGGGGAAAAAAACAGCAATTGTAAAGTCAAGAGTCAAGATACAAGACAAGGCGCCACTGAGTAAAAAAAAAAACCTCTTGCTCAGCATTATCAGTGTCCATCTAGACTTAAAGCCCACAGCTGAATACAACAGGTTCACTCTCATTCTCTGAGGGTTAGTCAAACCTGATTCTGGGAAGCACTGTTGTAATAAGAACTAAAGTAGATGTGTCAGTTCATGGGAATGAGGATATAGAAGGAATTAAAGCCAAGGTATTACACACATCATGAACATTTTAATGATACTGAAATAATCGAAATCTACTAGGCGTCATCATGCACCCTCACTAGATGGCAGCAGAATTATTAGTGGATTGAAATTATTATGAATATTTTGGCCTTTGATGCTGCTCTGATGTCATGCTCAAACTGCAACACAGCCACCCTAGCCAGTGCTGTAGCCACAGACTTGCTGTAGCTCAGGCTAAGGCTCCTGCCCTCGCTGCTCTACAACCCAGATGTTAACATTCAACGGATAGCATCTCATAGGATCTGCACAGATTTGACGGTATTTTGATCTGGATGATGGACTTGTATGTAGACTGTTTCAGGCTAAAACTGGCAGATCAACTGGGGCAATGCATATTCACATTTAGCAAGTGGATGATGACAATTGTGTGCATTTCATGGCCTTCATCTGTCACTTTTTTGTGGTTTATGATATAAAAAGATGACATCCCCACAAGGGCTGGGCAATTACATGAAGCTAAAGCTATTTATTAGCTACTCTCTGATTCATTCATTCCAATTTAGTTGAGGGGAAAAAAAACAGTTTTTTAAATTTATTTTGGAGTTAGAAGGCACATGTTGTAAACATAAGCGTTTTCGAAACATTGAGAACAGCAGACAGACAGAAACTGTTTTATGCTCTTCATTTCTGCTTGTTTATTGCAGTTCATATCGTTATTTTTATTTATTTTTTCTATACTTAAACTGTGCAATCTGTTTAAAACTGGACAATATTTATACATCAAATGTGCAATGTATACATGAACCGTGCAATATCTACGCTGTTAATCCATCAGTGTATTCATATTTGTAAATATATTCTCAATTACCTGCGCTTGAACATAGCTTTTAGGAGAATTCATAAAGGACTTAGGGAAAGGTGATTGCGTTGCTCTGACAATCCGACCACATTTCCACTAGGCCACGTCATTAAAGTGACGGGCCGGCGGAGGTTAATGACGTGGGTCCACCGTGTTGAAAATACAATGTTCAGATAATGGACTACAAAAAGATCATCTAAATTTTTTTTCATTGTGCTTCTTACCGGTGAAATAATCCTGATTACCACGAGGTTGGGATTGAAATATAAGACATATAGACTACGAGTAAGAAAAGAGAAACCATCAGCTTCCTCTCCACTCGTACATCAACATCAGAATAAAATTATTACGTTTATGAAAGATATACAGAATGTTATCTGCACAAAGATCCTGAAGTAAATAAAACTTCATCTGGATAAAAATGTCTCTCACATGATCTGAGTCACTTTACGATCATCGTTAATGTCCTTGAGCGGTCGGATGAGCGACTCGCTTTAAATATTGTGG